GGGTCCCGGGGGGCCCCCCCCCCCCCCCCCCATTGGTAAACTCAGCCACGGGGGATGTCCCCACAGTTGGTGAGATTGGACGCTGGGTGACCCATTCCCCACCAGTCACTGACTGGTTGCTGGGGGAGGCATGTGCCCCCACACTAAGGTGGCACCACTCACCCATGCTCTACAGGTTAGATCCTAGCAGCAAACTTCTTTCTAGCTGCTTCACTGTATCTTTTGACTCAGTTCCTAATTATCAGACGACCTCTTAACTAATTACTGCCCCCCACCTCGCACATTGAGTATTTTTCTTTTAAAATCCAACATATCAGATGGAACACAGAAGGCTAATTGAACAATTGACAATTGGCCAACTGCAAGGCTCCTAGATCTTAAGGAGGGCAGCCCGCCTTGATACAAACCTAAAAAGATTACTAGGTTCTGAAAATTTGGCTGGCCTTGCACAATAAGGTCAAAACTTGAAGGCCTCAATTTTTCAGCAGATCTTAGAAATTAAGAGTGGCTTATTTTCAAATAATACATCTTTCTCTAGTTTTTGGTTTGAGCTAAATATGATGCAATGTTCCATATACCAGACACTTTATTTTATAATTTTAGATACTTATATTTTACAGACATGAAAAACCAATTCAGATGTATTAAGTAATGATTGTATGGTAAGATCCATGATAATTTTTTTATTGAATATGTAGAACCTTTTCTGGTCCTACATTTCCATTTTTTGTATATTGCAGTTGGCTATATATTGCTATCCATGCTTGGGCTAATAAGAACTGATATCAGTTTTGATTCTAAACTGGTCACTGTCTAGACTGAGACAATGGAAAGAATTTACCTCATCAATCCCTTACTGGAAGATTCTGCACAGAAGCGGCTAGGAATGGCTAAATTGTTATTGAATTAATCTGTTCCTTGTCCCTTTAGGCATACAAGATTCAGTTCACTTTAAATCATTTTTAAAGTGGAAACAACATTTTTATATAGCCCAAGTATATATTTGATCAAAGAACTATTTGCATATCTTGCAAGCTGTTCGAGAAAATTATTCTGGCACACATCCAGGAGGGGCCGGCAGGGAATGCATGCTCAGGGGCAACCAGCACGGGTTCATCAGCGGCAGGTCATGTCAGACCAACCTGGTGGCCTTCTACGATCAGGTCACTAAATCATTGGATGCAGGGGTAGCAGTGGATATAGTCTTCCTGGACTTCCAGAAGGCTTTCGACACTGTCTCTCACCCCGTTCTCATTAGGAAACTGGGGGACTGTGGCGTAGACACCCACACAGTCCAATGGGTCGCCAACTGGCTAGAGAGCCGCACCCAGAGGGTGGTAGTGGATGGGTCCTTCTCGGGCTGGAAGGACGTAGGCAGTGGGGTCCCGCAGGGCTCAGTCCTCGGGCCCGCCCTGTTCAACATCTTCATCAGTGATTTGGATGAGGGGGTGCAAAGCACCCTGTTCAAATTTGCTGATGACGCCAAGATGTGGGGGGATGTGGGCACAATAGAAGGGAGCAACAGGCTACAGTCGCACCTTGACAGGCTACAAGGATGGGCAGAGGAGAACAGGATGGGGTTCAACACAGACAAGTGCAAGGTGATGCACCTGGGGAGGAACAACCGGCACCATACCTACAGGCTGGGGAACTCCCCTCTTGTCAGCACGGAGGTGGAAAAGGATCTTGGAGGCATTATTGACTCCAAGATGAACATGGCTCGGCAGTGTGGGGAGGCGGCTAGGAAGGCCAACTGTACCTTGTCGTGCATCCACAGATGCATTTCAAGCAGGACCAAGGAGGTGATCCTGCCCCTCTATGCGGCACTGGTCAGGCCGCAGCTGGAGTACTGTGTCCAGTTCTGGGAGCCACACTTTAAGAGGGATGTGGACAGCATCGAGAGGGTCCAGAGGAGGGCCACTCGCATGATCAAGGGACAGCAGGGCAGGTCCTATGAGGAAAGGTTACGGGACCTGAACCTGTTCAGCCTCCAGAAGAGAAGGCTGAGGGGGGATCTTGTGGCCTGCTATAAACTAGTCAGGGGGGATCAACAGGCACTGGTGGAGTCCCTGTTCCCCCGAGCGCCGCCAGGAGTGACCAGGAATAACGGTCACAAGCTGGTGGAGGGAAGGTTTAAGTTGGACATCAGGAGGCGCTACTTCACGGTCAGGGTGGCTAGGGTCTGGAACCAGCTTCCAAGTGAGGTCTGGAACCAGCTTCCAAGTGAGGACAATTTTAAGAGGAGGTTAGATGACCATCTTGCTGGGGTCGTTTGACCCCCAGTACTCTTTCCTGCCATGGCAGGGGGTCGGACTAGATGATCTGCCCAGGTCCCTTCCGACCCTAGAAACTATGAAACTATCTCTGAAACAACAGAAATTCCTCTAGCTTTAAAGTTACTGTTGTGATTTTGCTATCTATCGCTTTTTAAAAACAAAATTCTGCACCTGTAGTACTCTGTTGCAAAAGCTAAATTCACTATTTTGAAATCAAAGTTCTTACTTTGTCTAACTGACAGCCAAATGTGCTACCCCCTCCAATATATTTTCTCTAAGATGCTTACATTTAAGTAGTGCTAACATTTGCTCACATTGTGATAAATGGAAAGATAGAGGCTCTGTTTGTGACAACAAACAAACAACACCCTGGGCAAGGTGCAATTGAAGAGCATGGAACATGAAAGCAAAACAACCCCACAAACAAACAAAACACACACACACACACTGTCACATAGGTAGTCTTAATTTAATTAAGAGAAGAGGAAAAGGCTGTATACTTGACTTTGCAAACCTGATATTAGGATGGTTGACAGAACTGTTTTTTGGTAAATTTACCCAAATAATTCAGTGTAGCTAGGATAGTCCCAGCTTCAAGAAAGTGCCCTTTGTTTTTTAGAGCAATTTAAAAAATCATGATTTGTTGAAGAAAAAAAATTTACATTTCAGCTATAAATGTAGCTGAAGCAGTCAAGCAATTTCACAGTCAACGCCATACACATCTCACTGGCTTTATCCCCACCCCCAAACAGAAATGACATAGCTGCATTAGTGCACTGATGTGCCTGTTTGTAAGAGTAGATGTTCTTGTTGAAATGCCTATACATTTTGGTTGCTTTATTTATTGGGGTTCAATGAAAGGAGAGGAATGGTAGGGAGGACTGTAGGAATAGTGGCAGGAATTGTGTAGATGGAAACCAGAAGAAGCAGTAATAGGGAGGGTGGGTAGAATAGGGTCAGAAGCTTAATGCAGAGAGTGTAAGGCAGAGCACCTGAAGGGTTACAGCAAGAATTAATGGTCAAAAATAAGGAGAAGCAACAGCAAATGAAAACTGAAAAATTGAATTTAAGTTTCAGATGTGACTAAATGTATATACAGGAATCCATGAAGTCTCCTGCCTCAAAGAGTGGTAGGTAGAACTGAGACTGCTGCTCAGTAGAGATACTGAGACCTTTTGAGCCTGGTGGAGAGGAGGATGGAAGCATGATACACATTATGAAATCAGCATACCCTGCTCCCTGGGTGTCATTGATGCTGCTTTAGAGAGTAAGTTCTGATGGCTTGTCTAGCTGTTCACCCCTGCTCCCAGCTCAGAATCCACATGCTTCCTGAACTGCTCAAATCTTCCTCTTACCCCAGGTGTCTCTACTTGACCCACCTTTCATGCCTTCGTATATTATTAGTAAAGGCAAGACACAGGCACTTTCTGGGAAAGTACAGTACCATTCCAGGTTTACAAGACTCCTTTGGGTCTCCTGCCATGAAGAACACACAGTTGACTTTCCTTTATGAGTTGTCTTCTAGGACTTGTTACCTGTCCTTGCTGGACTCCTTTCCAACAGTTATATTCTCAGCCAGGTTTTTCCCCAGTTCAGCCCCTTCTACTCAAACTTAAGAAATTCCTGCGTAGGATAGGATCTTCAGAACAGACCTAGCTTTCCTTACAGCCTTCTTGGACTTAGTTTTCCCCAAACCTCTTACAGTCAGTTACCTGAGCATGTCTTTTTTTAGCAAAACCTCCAGGCTCCTCTTCTTTTTGCTGCTCAGGCCCTTCCCTTGTATCCCTCTAAAGCAATGATTCTTTACCAGGATGTTGACAGACCTTTTTAAGTGTAGCCTAGTATTAGATATGCAAGTACCTACACAATTCACAAGATAAACCTAGGGATTTTAAACAGTTGCAAAAACATTTCTGGCCTGCTGCATTCTTTCTGAGTTTTTCTCCCCAACAAAAAATTGCTGTGGTTTTTCTGTAGTCAAAAAATAAGTGAAAGTTCAGAGCTGAAATTTACCTTAAGTATGAAAAAGTTGAGATCTACTGTCTAAACTGTAGGACCTCCCAGCCTTACCTGGTATCTCTCATAAAGGACCCTTCCCCCTTTTCCTTGCAATGGGGACTAAGTGGGGACCTGCTACACCTGGGCATGGGTGACTGGTGGCTCCTGAGTCTGGGGGGGCACCTGCAGACACTGCCGGCGGTGTCGGTAGCAGGGATGGAGCTGGGGAGCACCCACAGATACAGCTGGTGGCGGGGACAGCTCTGTCAGGGGGGCAGGGGTGGGGTACATGCCCTCCCTGGTGTTCTCCCTACCAGTTGCCTATGCACCTGAAGATTTTTCAGATTCTTATGCTGCAACAGATTATAGCTCTAATAAACTAGACAGAGCACAGCTCCTATTTCCAGCGACCTTCAGGTGTTTTGTTTTTTGTAAGCGTGGTCTGTGCCTTCAACAGGGAACAGTCTTCCCCCTGGAGAAAGCTGAGGTGTAAGGTATTTAGGTAATGAAGGTATGTCTTTCTGGTAGCTTAAAACTCCTAGGGGAGATGGCAGAAAGTTAGTAAATGGTGAGAAGGTAATTTGTAATTAGCAGGCAATCTTTGAGTAAAGTAAGTAAGGCTATTGTGAGGATGACAAGGCTGGTATGCTGGGGGTCAGAACCAAAGGATTCCTTTTCTAGTAGTTGGAGCCAAGTAGAGGAGGTGGGTATATTAGTTTTTGTTGTTTCTTATTCAAAGACTGTGCTTTTATTTGGAAGAGCTAGTTGAGGAGCTCTTCAGGGAACAAAGTCTGTCTACAGAAACCCACAGGCTTGGAAAACCCACTTAATCTTCTGTTTTATTGTGTTTTTTACTAGAAGTTTGAAAACTGGGGTTTTTAGCATAGGGCATAATATAAGCAATGTAGATTTTTCTCTAACTGGTTCACTTCCTGTGACAACACTTTATGAATTGCTCTTACCTAGGGTTTTCTGATGCTTATCATTAACACCAAGTCAAAACTTGCTTGCTCACTTTGTATGTAAACCATATTATATCTGAATGAATGTGAAGTAACACTGGATAATTTAAGGAAAATTTATCTAACACAGCCATTTTGATACAAATTTGCAAGCTAAGCATTAGATTCCCCAACAGTTCATCTGAATGCAAATGCTCCAATAGCATAACTTTACTGCTGTTGTAGTCTGTGCAGTAGAATTACTGTGTTTTTGAAGCCACGGGGCCAGGCCGGGGTTAACCTGGGGCCCACCAGGCCTGCCAGTGCCATGCCCGGGTTGACATGGTGCTGCAGGACCCGCCTGGGCAGAACCAGGTCGCACCGGCCAGGAGAAGCAGCATGCAGCTGAAGCCGGCTTCCCATGTGCTGCTAGGGATGGGAGAAGGCTGGCCAGGTCTGCACCGGCCAGCAGAAGCGGTCAACCCATCTGGTGCAGGCTCGTCCCATCCCAAGTGGCACACGGCTCCACCTCTGCTTCTGCTGGCCGGTGCAGACCCGGCTGGGCTTCGCCCGTCCCCAGCAGCACATGAGAAGCGGTCCCCTCGGGGCTTCGCGCGTGGGCAGCTGGGCCTGGGGGGAGACTGGCCGGGGGAGCAGCCCATGGGCCGGCCCTGCCCACCTCGCCAAGGCCCTCGGCGCCGTGGCTCCTTGCTCCACCGCCACCACCTCAGGCCAGATAAAATGGCTTGGCGGGCTGCATGGCAGCCCGTGGGCCATATTTTAGACAAGGCTGATCTAGTCCAATGAATATTATGCATCACACAAAACGTTCATCTGTACCACTGTGCAATAGTGCTGATTACAGTACATTGAGTTAGTACTTGTTCTTACAGGTACTAAACATATTGTGCTGTAATTATGTCACATTAATGAACGTGTAGATGTGCCCATTGACAAGCAATAGCACAGGAACAGACTGAAAGCCTAGGAGGAGGAATAAAGAAATGAGCAAGAAAAAAGGCATCTTAGGGAGACAGAAACAGGTGGAGAATATTGTAGAGAGCAAAAACAATGAAGGTTATTGTTTTAGGGGTGAATTGTGTGAAATAGGAAGGCAATCCAGCATCATGGCAATAAAAAACTAGGACAGAAATGAGAGAGACGATTCAGAAAATTATACAAAAAGGAAGTCATTAGAACATGTTTTGGAGTTGATAATGTGAGAAATAAGTAAGCAATGAAGAACAGGAGAGGAGCAGCCAGAAAAGATGTAAAATTAGGACTTGTTTTCATTTATTCATTTCTATTTTATTTAATTTTTGACAGAAACTAGGAGCTGCAAAAAAGCTGTAGAGTCCAGTTAAAGCCCAGTAAGTTTTGGTTTTATTGTTTTGTTTTATATTGAATGATAAAAGAAAATGAAGTTGGTTGTGCTTTGTGAGAGAAGGGGTACTGAGAAGGGAATATTTCAGTTTCCAGTATTTCAAATGCACATGGTATTTGCTTTGAAAACCTGTCTTCAGCTTTTTGGGGGGCACTGGGTGTGGGAGGGGAAAGAAACCTCTTTCATTGTTGCTATATACTACTGTTAAAGAATGTGAAACCAAACAGACCTCAGTATCACCACATTTTTGTGTACATTATTCCATGAAACAGAAACATGGAACATGAAACAAAAAGGTATGATTTAGGCAAGTTGATTCAACATCAACTTTGAATTTTAAAGGATGTATTAATCATATTGCTGTTTTCTAATATCCATTTTCTTTTCAAAGAAAACTATAATTGATTATTATGGTAATTATTATAAAGGAGATATTAATGGAAATATTATTTAAGTGGTTTCAGAGAGTGAAATGTATCCAAAATGGTTCTTAAAGCTGTATTAAAAGATTTAGAGAGACCTACCTGGAAAAACAATTAACTGCTTGCATGCATAATTAATTAATGCATGTTAAAACCCAATATTAAGCAAAATCTTTGATTGTTTCCTTGGTTGACCACTGCTAGAATAAGAAAAGTAAAAGGAATAAGAGGTATGTATTTGGGATAAAAGTCAAGCTTTTTATCCAGTTTTATCTTCCACTTGGCTGGGGTGGTCCCTTTGAGCCCTATTTTCATATGTTCCCTATGATCTTCCAGTGAAACATTATTCAGTCTACACTGTCTCTCTAGTGGGTTATGGAATAGAGAAGATCCCACACAACTTACTGATTCGTTTGATGCACTGGCTGGGGAAATTTTTAGCTACTTGCACGATTTCACAATGATTGCACACTTAATTCATACAACACAATTTTATTTTAAAATTCTTTGCTACGCATATAACACTGCTTAGCTTTAAGAAATACCACAAACATTAAGAACACAGTAACTACATATATTAGAAACAATGCTCCAAATGCACTTCCTTCCCAAACAATGCTATAAGAATTAGTATTACAAAAACAAATACAATTACAACTCAAAGTTAAGTTTGAATCAATACTATTATTTTTCATAATATACTTACAATCCTAGAATTCCGAGAAACCAAATCCCCAGGTATACCTTCATTCTTTAGTTATGGTTTTAGGGTTGGTCTCAGCAGTGATAGGAACAACTCCCCTTCCTTCAGTCTCCTTCGGGCGCTCCTAGGCTTCAGCGTGAACTAAGAGATTCTTGTTCACAGAGAGGGTGGTTCAGGTGATCAGTCTGATCTGGCCTACACTTGAGATTCTTCCTTTGATGTTCTGCAAGTGAGGTTACCTCCAAATTGGGACGGTAGGTTACAGTTTTTATTGAGTGAGTTGCCGTCTTGGCCCCTCCTACCCAAACCTGTCACTACTCCCAAATTTGGGCTCGGATCTTTCTTAACAGATTCTTTTGCTTGGTAATCAGTTTCTTTCAGGAATTTCCACACCACTGCAGTGACCTTTCTTTCCAACCTCTTTTCGAAGGCTCCTAGGGTTTGATCTCTCAGGATGTTTGCTTAAGGGTCATTTTTAGGTTAACCTTTTTAAAGGCCTCTAGAGATAAAATTCAAGAGTTAAGATTTTGAGCAAAGCCCGAACCTTCCGCACGTAGGCCAAAACAATCGCCTAGATAAGAAGATGAATCTTGTCTTTTTCTAAACTGGCTAATGGGCAGCTATTACAAACATTCAAACTATTACATTCAATATGACACACTGCAAACGTTTTGAATTGATGTTTCTGTTACTATATCAAAGTAGGTCTCCGTTATGGTAATATAATTTAAACCATTTTGATATTTAAGTGAAGAAGCAATTACTACGTGAATTTCCAATAGCAGTTTAATATTCCATGAAAATAATTAAAAACCAAAATAAAACAAAGTTTCAAATTCCTTGCCAGTAGTTTGGCAAATTTTTGTTTTTGCTGTTGATGTCTCAGTGGTAACATGCAGCAGAAGCAGTTGCTTCCTGCAGCTTGTATGGCTTTTTGGCCTTTTTCCTTGCTTTAAAGAAAGGAAATAGCACAACATGAGAATATAGTGCTTGTTTAATATGATGAGATTTATATTTTTACAAGAAATAAGTATCCTACAGGGCTTGGCTGGATTTAAATATTATTACTGTCATGCTTTCGTTGGCTTCCCACTTTCATGTATGGCCCTGGTAGCCTCTGAACTTTTCAAAATTAAGTTTGTTAGTGCACATGCCACAGGTGATACCAGAGAGAGAATTCTTAGAATATCTTTGAAGTGGAAACCTTATTCTGTTTTATGTACATTGGGTTTTTCTTTTCTTTCTTTCTTTCTTTCTTTTTTTTTTTTTGAGATAATCCTTTCATTTCAAGGTTTACTACAATTTCAACTCCTATTTCAAATATATCCAAACACATTTACTTTGTGTATAAAAAGGCCTTTAGCTTTAAAATAATTTCTAAAATGTCCGTTATTCAATAAGAGAGTCTTTAGCTTTAATAGTCCTTTAAAATGTATTAAGTCTTCCTCTGAACACTGTTTGGAGAGATTCATAGATGTTAGGGTCGGAAGGGACCTCAATAGATCATCGAGTCCGACCCCCTGCATAGGCAGGAAAGAGGGCTGGGTCTAGATGACCCCAGCTAAATGCATATCCAACCTCCTCTTGAAGACCCCCAGGGTAGGGGAGAGCACCACCTCCCTTGGGAGCCCGTTCCAGACCTTGGCCACTCTAACTGTGAAGAAGTTCTTCCTAATGTCCAGTCTAAATCTGTTCTCTGCTAGCTTGTGGCCAGATGATTGAGATCATTGTGAGTTTGGTTGGGAAATTCCTTAAGGACTGCCGAGACTGAGAGGTCTGCAGGCTCTGTGGAGCCTGCTGGTTCTCGGGTGTCCTCCTCCTGGTCCTGGGGTTTAGCGGGCTTCTTAGGTACTGTCTGAACACCCCCCCCCCCCCCAGTCTGCTAAGACCCTGGACTTTGGCTGGGATTGGGAGAGCTCTGCAGCCCCTTGGGATGGGAGCGAGGGTTGTGTTCCCTCACAAGATGTCAGGGCAGAGCTGGAACCCCGGGTGGTTTTCACGTGGTCTCCAACAAGATCAGACTGTTGGTCTGGGGACCCCACCCTGGTCTCCTCTGGTGTGGGACCACTGGGCAGGCTAGTAACGGGATTTGTAAATTCGCTTTGAAGATTGGGTCTGAGAGATTGGAGACAGGTGGTGTTCTGTTCTTTGATAGATTTTCAGTGTGCGCTCATTCTGGTGCGCAGTTGTTGCTTGGTGTCTCAACGTATTTTCCATCAGGGCACTTGATTGGGAGGGTGGGAGCAGGTATAGAGTTTACACTAGGGTGTAGCCTAGAGTAGAGGCTATAACTCTTTGGAGTTGCGCAACTTTGCCCTGCCTTGGAGTGGTGTAACTTTGAGCTGCATAATGGGTTCTTGAAACTAGTTTCAGGTATTGTGTGGTCAGTCTAGGTGTTGAGCTCCAGGAACTGCCCAAAATTAGCAATGAAATAAGGCCCTGAGCATGTAATTAAAAATAATTACGCATTCTTTAAATTTACTTAAGGTGAGCTCCTAATAGTCTATCATCAATCATCATAATTGTTGTTTTTACAGAAAATTGAGGTTTACACCTAAGATTAGACATAGTTCTGCTTATATAGATTATCCTTTTTCCACTACAGCAATAGATTAACTGTATAAAACACTTCCATTTTGTTATAATTGCAACCATACTAGAGGATTTGTATCACTCTTTAAGTATACCAATCCCTTTACATTTAGACAAGTAAATGTAGAACTCTGAGGTGCCTTGAGATCCTTTGGAGGATGTGGTACTCTGAGGTGTGCCATCACGATTAACCCAGAGATTTCAAATATTTTTAAAAATATTAATTCCTGTGCTGATCTGTTGTGATCTTTCTGTGGTCTTTGCAACAAAGAATTGTTTTATTTTTCCATACCCAAAAAAACAAATGAAAGTTAGGACTTGGTATTTTCTGAGGTATGCCTTGAGTTTAACAAGGTTAATAGCCTATTTCACATGAACTTCTAAACACAATTGGAGGCTAATGTAATTACTGTTAACTTGAACTATATTCAAACTGGTTATAATATACAGGAAAAGCTCCGCTAACCGGCACCTTACAAGCCGGCATGCTGTATTAACCGGCGTGCTGGCTTGTAAGGTAAAGTGCCCACCATGGCACTTCCAGTGTCTCCGAGCCCACATGGCTGCGCTGCCAAGCCCCCATGCCTCAGAGGCACAACAGACTGCCTCCCTGTCCTGGGGGACCCGCAGGGCCTGCGGGAGGGGCGGCGATGCCGCAAGAGGGGCAGCAACATCCTGGACGCAGCGGGAGAAGCAGTGGCTCGAACAGGGAAGGATGCCTGTTCAGGCCACTCAATTAACTGCCCTGTTTTGTTATCTGGCATCTCCCATTCCTGGGGGATGCTGGATAACAGAGCTTTTTCTGTAGTAGTAAAGGTTTCTCTATGCAGTTAACAATTCTATCTGGTTCTTTACTCTCACTTCTTCCTCATTCAGACACTGAACTAGAGTCTCCAGCAAATAATATTGATCACAATCCAGTAATTTGGCTTCAGCACTGTTTTTGTGAGACTTTGGCTCATATTTGACTTAACAGTATAAAAAGTTACTCTTCTAAGTGTTAGCTGTTTTGCATTAAGTATTCATTCCTTATATTAGAGAGACATCTTGTGGTCTCTGGGCTTATTTACAAAATGCCATTTTCCTTGTTCCTTTTATGTGTCCATTATGGAAAGTTTCTTTTACCATTGAAATATATCATTCGTGATGTATACTCTTCAAAATAAGCTGTATAATTATATAATTTGAAACAGATTAAAAGTCTTTTGGTACAAACAAGCATATACTGAATATTGATATTGATAATATTGATAAATATTATCTTATTTTTGCTGATGAATTGATTTTTTTTCTTTTCCTTCAAAAAAACCCCCAAACCTCCAAAACAAAAGGAAGGGCGTTGAGTATTTTTAAACCTGGCTCAACAAAGTGTTATGAACAAAGTGAATATTTTTGCTATTTTATTCAACATTTGTTGCTCATCACTTTTTGTCATGGTCTTTGCATCACTAAAAACTGAAGTTTTTTTGTCACAATTTTAATAGACTTAAAATAACTTCTAGGAAAAAACCTCCTAAAACTGGTTTTGTGCACATATCCAAAAGCACAGACTCTTAAATTTCAAGCAATAGCTTTAAGTTGCTGCAAAGTACATTTAGATTGGACATCAGAAAAATACATCTTCACTGGTAGAACAGTAAGGAAGTGGAATATACTGCCTAGGGAGGTTCTGGATTTCCTTTATTGAAGGTGTTCAGGTTGGATAAGTATTTGTTAAGGAAGATTTAAGAGTAACAATGCTGGGAGTGTGCTGGAAGAGCAACAGTTAGAAGCCCAGGAGATCTCCCCTCATCTCTCGGACTAGGGACAGACTTTGAAAACCCTGGTGTCTGAACTGATTCAGTCTTTGCAGGCTCATCTAACCTGCCTAGGTTGAACTGATTTTTAATAGCACAGATATTCCCTCTGGACTGAGTAAATGTGGGAGCATGCCTGCAGTTGCTCAGACCAGGTGAGTTAGAGCATGCCCTTGGCTGTAGGGAACCTGTGCTGGGGCGGCGGGGCATGGCCAGCCTGGGACACTAGTTTTGTCTAAACTGGTCATGGAGGCGTTTAATTCACCCTTCCCTGTCCCACCAGCAAGGACCCAAGCTGAGTCTGCTGGGTGCTTCCCCCCTCACTGCTGCAGTGGTGGGCCAGCATGGCCCCTGAAGCAGAGGGGGCAAGGAGGGGAGTTATTCCTCACTTTACCCCCACTGCCCTCAGGGGACCGCAGCTGGGTCTGCCCACCCTGACTGTCACCACTGCCATTTGCTCCCTGCTTGGAGCAAGTGGTGGAATAAGCCCCCTACTGGCCCCTGTGCTGGATGCTGGAGGGAGGCGGAAAAACCCCTATCCCTGCCCCCTGCCTAAGGGGCCCTGTGAGCTGGCATCTGGCCACACCCCCACCTGGCTGCTGCAACAGTGAGGGGGCAGGGCCCTTTATGCGGGCAGGAGCCCTGTCATACTGTTGGGGAGTGCGAGCCCCTTCCTGGTGGGGGGCCCCACTGCGGGACGGGCAGAGCTGTGATGGACTGTGCGCAGCAGCATCAGGGATTGGAGGGAGCCATATCCCCTTGCCGTGCTGTTACCACCAGGGTCTGTAGCAGCTTTCCCCACTCCACAATATGGCTCCCCTCCAGGAAGGGGCTCGCTTGGGCCTGCTGCTGCAGGAGCAAGGGGAGAGCATCTGGCAGACCCTGCTCAGGTCTTTGCTAGTGGGACACAGAGGAGGGAATTAAACCCTTCGCAAGGTGGCAAAGGCCTGCAGCAAGGCAGCAGCCCTGGACTTCAGGAGGGAGGATTTCAATGAGGTAAGGAGAATAGTCGGGGAGAAGACTAGTCAGGGAGGCACTGAGGTCACAGAGGGGGGGGGTGGGGAGTTGGGTGTCCAAGAAGAGTGGTTGTTCCTTAAGGAGACGATCCTCCAAGCCCAAAGGGAGGTAATCCCTACATGGATCAAAGGTGGCAAGATGGCGCAAAGGCCACCATGGCTCACCAAAATCGTCTGGAAATGTCTCCAAGCTAAAAAGGAGGTGTGCACCCATTGGAAGGGAGGGGCCATCGCCAAGGAGGACTATACCTCTGTTGCTTGGGACTGTAGTGGGGCGGTCAGGAAGGCCAAGGCAGAGATGGAACTGGGACTAGCTACCCAGATCAAGGACAACAAGAAATCCTTTTTTAAATACATAGAGGGTAAAAAAGAAGGTACCAGGGAACGTGGGGCCTCTGCAGGACACGCTAGGAAATCTGGTCATCATATCAGACAGCAAAGCTAACCTATTGAACAATTTCTTTGCCTCTGTTTTTCTGAGTAGGGACCTGGTCATCCCCCGCAGTGAGACCCCTGTAGGCCCCATGGGAGGCACACCCAGGGCTAGGGTCAGTGAGGACCTATACAGGGAACTTCTGGAGGGACTGTACGTACTTAAATCAGTAGGTTCTGACAATCTCCACCCCAGAGTGCTGAGGGAACTAGCAGAGGTTATTGTGGTACCTCTGGCACGGCTTTACGAGCACACATGGTGCTCTGGCGATGTGCCTGAACCTGTTCAGCCTTCACAAGAGAAGGCTGAGGGGGGATCTAGTAGCCATTTACAAACTAGTCAAGGGGGGACCAGCAGGCATTGGGAGAGTCCTTGTTCTCCCAAGCACTCCCAGGAGTGACAAGAAATAACAGTCACAAGCTAGCAGAGGGTAGATTCAGGCTAGATATCAGAAGGTGCTACTTCACTGTCAGGACGGCTAGGATCTGGAACCAACTTCCAGGAGAAGTGGTGCTGGCTCCTACCCTGGGAGTCTTTAAGAGGAGGCTGGATGAACACCTGGCCGGGGTCATTTGACCCCAGTACTCTTTCCTGCCATGGCAGGGGGTTGGACTTGATGATCTGCTCAGGTCCCTTCTGACCCTACCAACTATGAAACCCCTCTTTGGCCGGATGCCTATCGCTGCATAGCTGGGGAGCAGAGGGGTGGGGCCAGCTCTGCTCCACTGGAACAGAGAGCCCAGCCCAGAGAGCATGCTGGGATGCTGGGAGATTCTAGTTTAGGTTAAACCAGGAAAAGGTCTGGGACAGACATTGCATAAAATGATTTGAGCTCAATCAGTTAAGTCTAATACTACATTCAACCAGGTTTATCTCAAACCGGTTTTGGCCATTTTGGCTAGGGACAAAAAGCCTGAGCCTGAATTGATTCACTCTTTGCAGGTTAGTTTAAGCTGTGCATCTTAAACTGATTAGTAACTAGACGTATGTTCTCTTTTAAGTGAGGAAATGCAGGCATGTGACTGCAGTGGCTAAAGCCACAAGCTGGGGGGCACTAGAGCATGCCTGCTAGCCACTGCCAAAAGGGAAGAAAGAGAGATGCCCTCCAAGGCTCTCATCCCTTCCTGCTGGAGTGGAGGGGGTGTGTCCAGACACCAGCCAGGGCTTGCAGGACACACAGGATGCCAGCCACCAGTTTGGGGGATTTGGGGGCCCAGTGAAACACAGCATACACAACTTAGTCTAATTTACCATGTAAAACAGGAAGACAAGAGAAAGCCTGGCATAAGTGTTACTAATCCTGAGGGCAGAGTGTCTCCTTACAGCCAGGCATTCAGAAAAGCTTTGTTTAGGTTTTACAGGTTCTGCTTTATAGTGTAAATATAGCTTTCTGCATTCTTTGGTCTGCAACTTTCAAGCAGAAACTGTCTGCAACTTCTCTTAACTCTATCTCCAGCACATATGTGTGATGATTGTCAGGTCTTTGCCAACACTTCCCAGCTCTCTCTGGTCCTGTAGGTCTTAGCTCTGGACTCACAGGTGCAGGTCTTGGATCTGCACTTGGGACTAGTTTGCCTCCCCCACCACTCCAGGACTGCTGTGGAATTAATCCCCTCCCTGGCTGCAGGTAAGCTGGACAGAGGAATGAATTGCCTCTGTCTTTGCCTGGCTGCAGGAAAGCCATGGAGGTATGGCTGGGGCTGGCAAACCCCAGCCGTGGTCCACAGGGTTTGCCATCAGGGGGGAGAAGAGACGGAGGGAGGAATTGCCTTGGGGGCCATGGCAGGCCAACGTCTGGCCATGCCACACCCCTGCACCAGCCAGAAAGCAGAAGGGAGGGGCCAGCCCAGCTCTCTGGAGCAGAGCCCAGCCCAGAGAGCATGGCAGGATGTTGGGGGTCTCTGATTTAATTTAAACCATTAAGGGGTCTGGGACAAATGTTGGCAACTGGTTTGAGCCAAATCAGTTAAGTCTGATACTACATTCAACCAGGTTTATCTCAAACTGGTTTCGACCATTTTCAAGCTGGTTTATGTGCACTGAATATCTGTTCTGTTGCAGGTTTAAAACAGTTTCTGATCACTTAAACCAGTTTATGTGTAATGTTTGTCCCTAGCCTTAGAGACCACAAGAAGAGCTTTTCAGCCAGAGCAGGTAGAAATTGGAGCAGACCATGTTCAGAAGTAGAAGAATGAAGCAGAGCTCCACAAAGACCTTGGTTATGAAAGAAGATTAAAGGATCTGGGATAAGTTTATGTCTGAGACAGGATGATAGAAAAGGGAATGCTGGCTTTCCAGGCAGGGTGTGTGAACAACACACCCCGAGTTATAGATCCCAGACTGCAGTGGAGAAGGTCTCCTTATCCCATGTTTCTGGACTTTGCTGGCTGACCCATAGGGTCAGGAAGGAATTTTTTTTCCATCCTGTTGCTACAGGTATCAGGATTTTTGTTTTGTTGTTTTGTTTTGTGTTTTGTATTCAGTTATATTTTGTAACATTGCATATTCAGTCTTCAGTTTGTATACAGTTATATTTTGTAACGTTGCATTTTTTTAGACAGATAAATATTAAATGAACTCACTAAAGTCATGCAAAGTAAAAGAATTGGAACCAAAATATTCTTGTTTATAGTTGCATAGTTAAGGGACCAGATTTCAGAGTCAGACTTGCAAATCTAAGTCTTTTTGTACCTAAGTTTTTCTGCATATATCATATTTGCCAATATGATTAATTGTAGGAACTCTGCAATTATACTGAGTTAAGATGTCTGCAACTAATAAGTTGATCTCAGAGAGGAGAGGGGCTAGTTTGGCAGACAAACCAGAATCTTGAATTTTATTCAGTATATGCAGCAATGAAAGCCAAGATGGAATATACCTACATAGTTGAATTCAGTCATGGGTGTCAAAATCACCCTGTGCAAATCTGGACTGCAGGGCTCCTTCATGGGCCAGACCCAGTCTGAAGCACAAGGTGGTGGTGATGGCACCTGCAAGAATCGTGGTAGTTGTTGTGGGGATGATAGTGGCTGTGGCAGACAGCAGCAAAGGTGGCAATGACTGCAGTGGGATTTGTGTGGTATAGCAAGCAGCCGTGGGACCAGTGGCCTCAGAGTGAAACGAGGCTTTGTTGGTGTAGTCCGTACTTGCCTTCCTGCCTCTAATGGCCACGTCCACTGAGGCACAGGAACTGCAGATTCTGTGGCAGGTCATGCCCCATGCCACTTCTGGTAGCCTGCTGTTAGCTACCAGATTTAGGACTTCAATTCCTAATTTTGTATGATTGTATATATAACGCTATGCTTTTACCACTCTACCCTTTTAAAAAGTCAAGCTGGCAGGTTCTGTAGTAAGCCAAGCTTTCAAATTGCTATCAGTATTCCTTTTGCATAATGAGATTTTGGTTTAGAGAGTTAAATTATTGGGGTGACTAATAGGTGATGGAAAAGAACCGTCTAAGAAGGCAAGAGACATTTCTGATCCCTGTTATTAACAGAAAACAATGCATATAGTAAAAAAAAAAGAAAACAAAACAGAGTTCAGATGCAATTTGACTCTGAACCAAAGTATATGTGTTCTGGAATTATGTTTTATTTCATCACAATACTGTTGTTCTATATGTATGTCAAGGTCTAACTCAGATAATCTTGTTTATCAGATTTTCTCTGGAGGTATTAAAGGAACAATTCATTCTTCTTTTCTACTTTGTTCTCTTGTAGGCTACTTGGCACTCAAAAATTATCTACAGTTTTGCATTTCACCCAAATGTTTGCATTTCAGTAGCAGGGAATGCGATGCACTCTATTGTAAACTCCAATTAAAAATGTCATATTGAAATGTGTATGCAAGTCAGAAAAATCAAGGTTGGGGGGACAGTTCTAATCTTACTTATACTGATATAATTTTGCTGATTTAAGTGTACTTAATGCATTGTAAATTTAAGGAGAATAAGGTCCTCTCCACACCTTACACCTCAGTTGTGATTAACAAGGTAATAATGCCTTTAATTGTGACCCAGCAACACGTTCAACCACTTAACTGTATGATAAAACAAACAATAAGTTATTCCACAAAAAAGGTATAACTTTGTAGCTTGTTCTAATCATGCCATTAATTGAATATGTAACCAAGTGCTCCCCCGCGGCTGGGGACCCCACCAACTGAGGGTCTCCCAACTACAGGGACACACCACCCACTGACAGCCCCACAGCTGACAAGGTTCACAATGGTGGCAACAGTCAGCTGCAGGGCTTGCAGCAGGGAGAATGCTGCATCTCCTTCGAGCCTTGTGAGCTGCGAGGCCAAAGGGAGAACACTGTTGTGGTTGAGAACCTTGTGAGGTGTGGGGCTTGCAGCCACGGCAGTGCTCCATGTGATGTGGGCTGCAGGACTCGCAACAGGGTCAGCCTGGGAAATGCTGTTTCTGCTGCTGTGAGCCTTGCACTAGATGAGGCTCACAGTGATGTCTGTGTTCTCCTCACTGTGAGCCCCTCACTTTATGAGGCTTGTAATGGTGGAAGTGTTTCTGATGCTGCCACTACTACGAGCCATGCAGCACATGTCAGCTGCTGGGCTCACAGTGGGGGGCAGTGTAGGGGATGCTGCCTCAGTTGCAAGCCCCACCAAGTTCTGTCAGCTGCAGGGCTTGTAGCAGCAGGAGCCAGTGCAGTGGGGGCCCAGGATGATGATCTCAGGCTCCTCCTGCACTGGAGATAGGGTGCAATGGGTGCATGATCCAACAGTTGTGGCTCCTGCCATGTACGTGTGGCATGGCCGGAGGCCCAGTTGTGTGGATCTCTCATTAGATCCTATTGCATCTTTACCTGCACATGTGGAAGGGCCCTAAAGCCCAGGTTTCTCACATCGTTCACCAGATCATACATAATACATACTTTTAAATAAATAATCAGTTGAAATAGATGTTCTGGGTATATTTATGTTCATGTTGTTATAACTGTTGATTTATAGTAAATGTTAATGCATGTTTTGGATCTCAGCACCTGGGAGCACATTTGGTCATTTAATAGAAAAATGCTGTGTAGACCGTGTCTGAATTTGTGACCTGGAGTTAAAAGTCCATGTTTGTCATTGCTAATTAACCAAACCATCAAAACTCCTTAGACTTTTCTAAGCCAGGTACAGGTGTTCAAAAAGCCTGAGATGGAAGTGATTTAAGTTGCTTTATCCTAAGCACCCTAGGTTATATTGGTAACAAACAGAATACACGTTTGCCCTTTGATTGCTGGGGTACACAGGCTGTCCACGTTGGGGGAGACCAGCAGATTGGGGGCACTCCTGCATGTCTTCCAATGGGTTCCCCAGGTTGTCAGAGCCTGCTGAGTGTAGCACTGTTCATCTGACTGGTTAGGCCACCCTTGATTGGCTGTTGCCGAGCATGGCCGAGCCTACCTTTCCCATGGCCCCCACCTTCCTCAGCAGCGTCAGCCACAGGCATGACAACTGCTAGCATGCAGTGGAAGCAACCCTGCTTAGCTGTGCATGGCAGCCCAGTCCTGCTCCCTGGGGCAGTGCCCACTCACGGCAGCAAGGGTATCCCTAGATCTGCTTCTGCACACCCATCCAGGAATCCCAAGGCGTTTGCAAGCAGGCACAACCCCGGGGAGAAGGAGTGGGCTGCCAGACACAACTGAAAGCATCCCCAACTTCCCCTAGCAGCATCAGCTGCTATGCTGACCTGGCTCTGAGAGCCTGGGGGCGGGCCCAGCTAGGTGTTGGTACTGGATTTACTAACCACTCATGATACTTTGTTTTGGATGGGCATGACCTTTCTGAGACCAACCGTGACACCTCTGTTTGATAATAGGAGAATTTTATTAATACACAGTGGGCATGTCTACATGTGCCCTTGACTGCATATTTGGTACTGCACAGTCCCAGTGACACAATTATTTTTAGATGCTACATCACCATAGATTGTCACTATGGTCATGTAGTATCTTTTGTAGACATGCCCACAGATAGTAAATAAGACCAATGCAAGCAAAGCAAGCAAAATGACTACACAGAGTTCTACGTATTTCCCAGTTCTAGGGTTTCACAAGGAGATGGTACATCTGGCCAGTACGCGAATACCACCTTGTAGTTCTTGCTCAGATCAGGATGTCAGCAGCCTTGTAGGCTGGGGAACAATGCCCCAAATTGTTGTCCTGAAGATTCCTCCTTTTGTATTCTTTTTCTCCTGATGACTCTTCATTTCCAGGTACTGTCGATTTCCCTGTGGTTATTATGCCATCCACATTCTGCCCTGTCAGCCTAATCCTTTGTTTCTTTAAACACATCATGTGTACACATCCTAATTTGGTTACTCCTGGTCCCCTAATTTGGTCATTCCACCATAACTGGGAATCCCAGGGTTTGCCATGTGACGTGATGCTAATTCTGCATGCTTCTATCTTATTATGGGTTTTAAGGGAACATTATGGTTATTCTGCATGTTTCCAATTTCCCAGGATGTATGTGCCTGTCTGTCTGCTAACTTTGGACTCTTGGATAGTGAAATGCTGAGAACATAAATCTCTGCCACAAACAGACTCTAGAAACCAATTAAGCCTTGCCATTTCCC